TGGCAGACATTATTCCTCAAAAGCCCAAATTCTCAAAATGAATATATATTTATTAGAATAATAATCTCTCCTAAATAGGTCACTGGATGACAACTTTTATTTTACAATAAGGAAACTGAGGCACAGAGGGGTTAATTGGCAAACCAGCTATTATTACAAGGATAAAATGAGGTCATGAATATAAAAGTACTTTGGAAAAGTTGAAAGCTCTGTTCCCATGTCAGGTATTATTTGGAGTTCCCATATGAGTAACTGGTTCATTTGGAGGGGGGGTTAATCTTAGGTGGAGACCTTGGCAAAATTAGCTGGAGCATTTTACTCCTCAGGATGCTATATATAATGTTGCTAACATTTGCATAAGGCTTCTCAGTGGAATGTGTTCAAGGAGTTCAGTGAATTCAGTGAAAACGAATTGGCTCTGGGGTCTGGGCCACTGTTAGCTTTTGAGACACTGCCCTCTTGTGCTCTGTAAATGGCCAACTGTGTAGTCGTCTCCCTGCGGGAATCACGCAACATCTCAACCATGAATGACAGCCTCTGCTGAGCTTAAATCTGCTATTTAAGCAAGTGCCTCTCTATCTCTACTGCTGTTACCCAAAGAGAAGAGTAACAGGGCGAGCGGTGGATTCCAACTCCTTCTCTAAAGACGGCAGGTTCTTATTTCTGAGCATTTTCTATTTTGGGGAGGAAGAGGGATAATGATACTGAGTTTAAATGTAGTGGGAATAGGCTGAGAACTGCCTAAGATTATATTCAGATATGTTTGGCTGACAAATGAATCGTCTGATTAAATCTCTTTCTAAATTTCAAATCCATGGCTAGTAGAATTGTTCTGTTGTTATTGTTGTTGTTTTAAGAGAGAAAGAGAAAGCTTATAGCATAGGAGAAGAGAGAATGCCTTTCCAAACAAGTTTTTACTGTTTAAAAAAAATGATATTTAAAAGTTTCCTGAAATTTTAAGACATTTGAGAACATTTAAGAAATTTGAGACATTCAGAGTACATGCCTTCGAGGAAGTCCGATTTATTCCTACTCACAGCCAAAATGCTATTTTCTGTTCATTTAACTCCGTTTTGAACAAAGATATAATTTTATTTATAAGATGCATTTGGGGGATTGAGAATTGGAGGCTGGGAGATTGTTATTGTTTAGAGCCAATTATTTCATGATATTGTTTGTGATGATGCTGTATCTGGCAATATTGTTTGGTAAGCTTCTCGTGATTAACCGGTTCTACCAAAGATTATTGCATTCCCTCAATGACTTGGAAAGAAATGGTAATGTGCTAATGGTGCTAGTGGTGGCAGCTTTAGAATCCCAGGTGAGTGCAGTGCCTGGCTCCATCTCCTCACCCTCCATCTCGGGCTCCCCAGAGCCTGTGCCTGGCTTAGGACGGGGAAGTGGGGGTTTGGCATCTGGATACACAATTAGGAAATTCCAACTTAGTTGGCATATAGGAGGGTGGAGATCAGGACTGGGCACTATGTGCAAGCAATAGGGCCCTGGACTTGGAATCGAGAAGATCTGAGTTCAAAGGCTATCTCACACACTTACTGTGTGAATGACTTTGGGAAAGCCATTCAATCTCCCTATGCCTCAGTTCCTGATCTATAAAATGAGAGTATCGGGGTAGATGGCTTCTAAGTTCCCTGCCAGCTCTCTAGAAAAGACCCTAAGATTCTAAAAGATCTTATAGCCAGACAGTATTAGCCATACCTGGCCGACACTCCTGCGGTCATCCAGGGTGGACACTGCAGCTTGGAAATTAACATTCTCAAAAATCCAGGGTGGGGAACCTGTGGCCTCGAGGCCACATATGGTCCTCTAGGTCCTCAAGTGCAGCCCTTTGACTGAATCCAGACTTCATAGAACATTTCAGTCACGTCCAACCCTTTCTGGGTTTTCTTGGCAAAGATACTGGAGTGGTTTGCCATTTCCTTCTCCGGCTCATTTTACAGATGAGAAAATTGAGGCAAACAGGGGTAAGAGACTTGCCCAGGTTCACACAGCTAGTAAGTATCTGAGGCCAGATTTGAACTCAGTCTTCTTGACTCCAGTCCCAGCACTCTATCCACTATGTCACCTAGCTGCCCTAGTGAAATAATGAATAGATAACTCATCTTGAAACAGAAGACCTGGGTTCCAGTACTGCCTTTGAAACATCCTGACCATATGGCCCTGGGCAAATCACTTTACCTTAGTATCCCCAGGCAACTCTCTAGGACTTGAAGTTCCAGAAAAGTTGACAATCTACATTAATGATGGCTCCCTGCTGGTTCTCCTCCTACTTGTTGACCATTCCTCAGTTAACCATGAGCATCTCCCAAGGTTTTGTCCGGCTATACTATTTCACTTGGTGATCTCCCCGTCTCCCATAGATCCAACTATCACCTCTATTCAATTGATTCCCAGATCCAGATATCCAGCTTTCACCTCTCTCTCCCAGTATCTCATCTCCAACTGACTTTCAGACATTTTAAACAGGATGTCCTGTAGACATGTTAAGCCCAACATACATAAAGCTGGAGTCATTTTTACCACCACTGCCCCACCCAAGCCTCCTCTTTTCCTAACTTCCCTTTTGCTGTCTAGGGTACCACCAACCTCCTAGTCACCTAGACTCTCGACCTAGGGGTCCTCCTCAATTCTTCACTCTCACCTTCACTCCCCATAGCCAATCAATGGCCAAGTCCTCCTTTTTCTACCTTCTTATCATCTCTTATATACACTCCCTTCTCTCCTCTGACACAGCCACCACCCTGGTGCAACCCTTTATCACCTCAAGCCTGGACCATTGCAATAGCCCATGAGTGGGTCTCCTTGCCTCAAGTTTCTCCCCACTCCAGTCCATCCTCCACTCAGTAGTCAAATTGACCTTCCTAAAGCACAGGACTGACTCTATCAACAGTGCTCTCATTGTCCTGGCAAAGCCTTTGAACACTTGTTATCACTCCCAAGTCATGATCAGACATCATCGACTTTAATGAAGGTCCAAATCAGAGAAGCCGGGAAAATCTATAATAAAAGTTTACATCACAGCACACTTAAGAAAGCATAACCTATTAGCAAAAAGGCAACCTCGATTTTGTAAGGGAAAATCATGCCTGACTAATCTGTGAAAGATTTTCAAAGAGGTTAATTAAGCATGTGAACAAGGAGAACCGAGTGATTTGAATTTATATAGGCTTTCAAAAAGTTTTTACTGGATTCTCTATTAAAACCTGTTTTGTAAACAGTCAGTCACCTTTGGGTTAAGGAACAATATCACAGATAAGTAAAAGACCTGAAGATAGAAAATGAAGCTCTGGGTAATTGGACCCAGAGATTATTAGCTCCCTGAGGTCAGAAACAATTTCATCTTTGTTTTGTGGCTCCAAGGCCATCTTCCAGTTAGGCGCCGATAATCTCCATGTTTACAGATAACACTGCATAGTTTTATGAATGAGCTGAAAAATTGTAGATGAGTTTCAACATGGGCAACTGTGATGGAATTCATTTAGGAGAAAAGAATGCAATCTCTACTTCTGTATGCAATGATGGCCCCCAAACTGTTATGGAGGTGGAGCAGAAGGAAATAATTCTGGGAATTATTGTAGTCTCTGCTAAAGGAAGCATGTAGAGGCTAAGAAAACGTGAGGTACTGCTAGGAGAAGGCTTAGAAAACAACATGAAATCCTCGGTTCTGTCCATATATTGAACCTTATCCTATCCATGTTGATGTTCAGTCGTATCTGACTCTTCAAGCCCCCATGGACCAAATCACACCTATACTGTCCATGGGGTTTTCTTAGCAAAGATACTGGGGTGGTTTGCCATTTCCTTTTCCAGCTCATTTTACAAATGAGGAAACTGAGGCAAACAGGGTGAAGTGACTTGACCAGGGTCACCCAGCTAGTAAGTGTCTGAGGCCAGATTTGAACTCACAAAGATGAGTCTTCCTGACTTCAAGCTTGGCACTCTATGCACTGCGCTACCTCGCTGCCCCAGAGGGAATAGGGATACCAGTTTAAGATATGTTAGTGATTGGTAATGCAGAGATGATATACTGAGGTCTTGACTAGGGTCATGGCCACAGAAATGGGGGGAAAGGTTTGAACTTTAGAGAAACTATAGAAGAATTATAGCGGGATGTGATGACATTCATAGGATTTAGAGCAGCAAAGAGCTTTTAAAAAGAAAATCCAGTTCAACCCTCTTGTTTTACAGATAAAGAAACCCAATTAGTTGTTGGTTTGTTTGTTTTTGTTTTTTTTTTAAGTCCAGAGAAAGGTTAAGTGACTTCTGGGAGTCAGAGTCCTCGGAGACAGGATTTTGTTTATCTTCAGATGATCTGAGATTTAGAGCTGGATGTGACCTCTGAGGTCAGCTAGTCCAACCCTCCTCTTCTCCAAAAAAGGAAGTTGAAGTCCCAGAGATTTTGGTGACATGCCCAGAAGAGAGATCTGGAGCTCAAGCTTCAGCCCGGTTCCTGTTCTGCTCTTCTCATCAGCTCATTCATTCCCAGGGAATCAGCTCCTCCTGAGGCATTCTCTCTGGCTCTCCACTCCCTCATTCATAGTGCCTCTCATGATTCCTGCTGTGGCCTTCAGCCTCTGTTCACCATCTATAGAGGAGTTGAAAGTTGGCAAAAAAAAAAAAAAAATTTATATACAGAAGGCATTAATAGCTTAAAACCTCAGTAAGACTTTCTGGACACCTCATGTGTATAGTATGATCTCATTTGAACCTCGCAACACTTGCGAGGTACAGCTATTAATCATCCCCATTTTACAGATGAGAAAACTGAGGCTTCAGAAGGTTAAGTGATCTAATAGCTTATAGGTGGCAGAGGCCAGATTCAGAGGTTTCCCCAGCTCTGCCTGCTTCTACCTCTGTCATTCTATCTGCCACACAATTCCTTATATGTGGGCAGTGGAGAAAGCTGGAAGCTTTTTACACAGAATGATATTGTATCTTTATTTTCACAAGTAATTTTGTATCATTTTTTTTTCTCATTTCAGGTAAGGAATTTTCAGTGATTCCTGTTCCAAAGAAGAAAAGACTTCAAACATTGGAGCAGACGAGGAATTCTTCTTCAGGTAAGTTACCTGTCCTTTAAGAACAATTCCCAAGTTCCCAAACCACAAAGAACCAGACAGAGGTATGACTGTTGTTCATTTAGTTGGGTGTTTCTTTGCCAGAACATCCTTTGCCTAAGAACATCCACTAGGAATAGCTGCACTAAGGACATGTTGGTGACTCCTGCTCTCCTAATTTAATAGAGTGCAAAGGGACAGACCTTTCAGAGAAATTGGAGAGATTTTTGAGAGACTGAACAAGAACCATGAAATTGGTCCTTCAAAGGATTCCTGGCATCAGTTTCATGACACTAATAAGCATAATTCCTGTTCAGCTATTCTTATGAGCTCAATCACTCCCAGGAAATCTACTTCCTAAAGAATGGGGGCTTGCTTTCTTAAGTTCCTCTCTCTAGCCACGTGAGAGGCAGATGGGTCGAGTGGAAAGAGCTTTTGGTTTGCCATCAAAGAAACTGGTTGACCTTGGGTGACCTTGGTCAACTCACTTTCCTTCTCTGACCTCAAATATCTTCATCCAAAAAACAAGAGTGTTGGATAGGAAAAACTGCTAATGTCCTATCCAGCTTTAAATTCATGACCCTATCTATGATCTTCTGATCTGCTATTTCCCAAGAAAGCGAAGGTTCTAAATGACATGCCCAGGACGTGGGAAAGTGATCACATCTATTCTTCATCTAAAAGTTCACACCTACCTAAATTATTTGGGCTATTTAAGGATTTCACAAAGAGAATTCATAATCTGCTAGATTTTCTATTCTGGTTTAATTTTGGAAAGGTGAAAAATTGGGTCTTTTTGACAGATTAATGGCAGCATTTTAAAATTATCATTTAGTTCATGATAGAAACTAGCGCTATGATTTCACTGACGTAGGGAACTCTATCAATGCAGGTCAGAACCTTCTCTGCAATTTCTAGTTTTGAGTGGAGATGTAAACCAAGGGGCTAATTTAGGTACCACATCAAAATGTAATTGGGAAATACTTAATAAAATAAAAATGCAAGAAGACATAGATAATGTTAATATGTGGTTTTCTAAGTCAATATGGAGCCTATGGGGATCCTTCTGTACAAGTTAGTGGTCCCCATTTCTATCTGAGTTTGATCCCACTCCTTCAGGTAACTCCCTAAACCAGTGGTATCAAATTCAAACAGAAAAGTACGGGCCACTCAACCTATACAGAAGGATCCCTGTGGGCTCCATATCAACTTAGAAAACCACGCATTAACATTATCTGTGTCCTGTTATATTTTTATTTTGTTAACTATTTCCCAATTACATTTTAATCCGATTTAGTCCACCTGGCAATGTTGCTGGCCCTGTGTGGTGTGTTTTGATACTTCTGTCTTAGAGCAATGATTAGTTAAGTGACTTGGCCAAGGTCACACAGTCATAAGAAGGACTTGAATTCAAGTCCTCTTGGCTCTAAGGCCAACTCTATATCCTATACACTGTGCTGCCTCTCTACTATTTAGTTTGGTGTGAGTGAACTGCATATATGAAAAAAAACATGGTCTGATCATGGAGTGAGATCAAAAGATAACAGATGGGCAGCCCACAGGTTCCCCTGGTGTCCTCTCAACAATATAAGAAAGCAAAGAATGACCCTAGAAGGCAGGGCAGAGCCCCTGTCGTGGCCTAAAAGATCTGGACAAATGTCACATTGAATGGGCAGGCATGAATGCAATGGTGCACTTGACAAGACTCCCCCTTTAGATAATTGCTAAATTTTTGTGTGAGCATCTACGCCCTAGAAAGCAGCAAACCCTTTGACTTATTGTTTTGCTGATTGTCTAGATTCAAGAAAGTGATGGAGAAAATGTGAATAATGAAGATTAAACTTAAAAGTATGTCATGGGTACATTTTCCCCCCCAAAGAGTCAGTTATTAAACATTTATTAGCAGAAACACCTGCATGAATAATATCATTAGGGAAAATGCTCATGTTAATTAGATCATAGACCCATCTGATCACTGAATAATTTAGTAATTCAGAACTTTAAAGAATTTTAGTCAGTCAATAAGTATTTATTAAGTACTTACTGCATACTAGACATTGTGCTTAGTGCTTCAGATACAAAGAAAGGCAAAAGATGGTCCCTGCCCTCAAGGAGCTCACAGTCTAACAAGGGAAACAACAGGTGAACATACAAACAAGATCTATATGGGGTAAACTGGAAATAACCAATGGGTGGAGTCACTAGCATTGAGAAGCATTGGGAAAGGCTTCTCAGGTGGGATTTTCACAGGTCTGAAATGTTGTATAACAACTGCTTTCCATGATATTCTACATGGGATTCAATTACATGTCGAGACACGAGAGTCCTCTTGGGACAGTTGATGTGGCCTCCATTAGTCCTTGTCTGAGTTTGTAAGCAAGGGCTGTAAAGCCACTCCCAGTTCCAAGAAATCCCACCATTGTGCCTGCTCAATGGATCGTTGCATTTTAGAGCTGGAAGGGCCCTCAGAAATCTAGGTCAACCTCCTAATTCTACAGATGAGAAAACCGAGATGCAGAGATGCCTGGTTTGAAGTCATCAGGAGAACCTCCTGCCCCCCGCCCAGATCCCCCTACACAGAGAGAGGGTCCGCTGTGGTGCTGCCCAAATGCTAGTGTGCCCACTCCTTCAGGCCTCCCCTCTTTGACTCTGAAATTATCTGTACTCATTTTGCAGTAATAGATCTTTGTGTGTGTTGTCTTCCTCCATAGAATGTAAGCTCCTGGAGGGCAGGGATTATTTGATTTTTATCCCCAGAACCCAGATAAATAGTTGGGATTTAATAGTTACTTGTAAAGAAGTATTTGCGAAGGAGCAGATAGAGGGCCAGTCTTGGAGTCAGGAAGATCTGGATTCAGATTCTGCCTTTGATAGACACTGGCTGGGGGATCCCAGGCAAAAAAGGGAACCTCTCAAGAGCTCCAGATAAGTCTCCAAGGCCAAGATGCAGAGCAGGTGCTGATCCGCATTAGGACAGGGCAATTTCCAGATCCACGGAAAGCACAGGGACAGTCAATAAATACATCATCGTTCATTGAATTGAATGGGGGATGACAATTGTCAAAGATCTGGTTGGGAAAGCTGTCAAGGAGCTTATATTCTATTGGTAGAGACAACACGTACACAGATTTTTGTTGTTGAGTTGTTTTCAGTCATGTCTGACTCTTTGTGAGCCCATTTGGGGTTTTCTTGGCAAAGATACTAGAGTGGTTTGCCATTTCCTTCTCCAGCCTACTTTACAGATGAGGAAACTGAGACAAACATGGGTAAGTGACTTGTCTAGGGTGACATAGCTAGGAAGTGTCTGAGGCCAGATTTGAACTCAGGAAGATGAGTCTTCCTGACTCCAGGCCCAGCATTTTGTCTATTGCACCACATAGCTGCCCATATATACACAGATAAATAAGCACAAAGTAATTGGGACAGAGGAGCAGGGGGAGAAGTAGCCACTGGATACGTGAGTAAAAGCTTTGTTTTCTGGACCTCAGTTTCCTTCTCTGTAAAAATAAAGAGTTGGACTAGAAGATCTTGAAGGTTCTGTCCAGCCCTAAATCTCACAATGTGTTGTGATAGTGAAATGTAAATTCCTGCTCTTCTATTAACTTGAAACAGAGGATCCAGGTTCAAATCTAGCTCTGCCTATGTTAACTTGGGCTGGTCATCTAAACTCTTTGGTCCTCAGTTTCCTCATCTATATAAAATGAAAGATTTGGACCCAATGACCTCTAAGGTGTCTTCCAGATCTAAATCTATGATTCCATGTTCATGATGTCCTGTTAACAAAATCATTTAGTTTCCTATACTTTTATATTGTCTCCTGTCTTTTCCCTTCTTTTACGTCATAGGGTCATGAAATGTTAAAGCTGAAAGAGATCTTGGGAATTTATCTTGTCCAAGGCCCCCAATTTACAGAGGAAAAACTGAGACCCAGAGAGGTTTCTACTTACCCATGATCACACAGCTAGTCATTGGTAGGTCTTCTGACCCCAAGTTCACATTCCTCCTAATGTATTACACTGCCTTCTTTACTTTTCTTATCCGTAAGAAATGCTTGGTACATAGTAAGTACTTAATCCATGCCTTATCAATCTATCTGCCTATCTTTGAAAAAAAAAACCCTTGCATTTTATAGTAATTTTCTAATTCTATTCTTGGTGGAAGAGAGGAGAAAGTTTGGTTGCATATAATTCAATTCAATAACCATTTATAAGGCATTATTCTATGTGTGTCAGCATGCAGCTAAAAGGGTCAATTCTTTGGTAGCAAGATTTTGGGAGAAATACAAAACTGAATATGACAGAGACCCTTTCTTCAAGGAGCTAAGGATCTAGTAGGAGTAGGAGACACAACACATATACAAGTATAATAAAAGTGGAATATGAAAGTTCCATGACATATACAAAGTGCTATAAGAGTTCACAGAAAGAGGGGAACAGTTCTGATTAGGAGGAATCAAGGAAGCCCACTTAGAGGAGGTGCCCTTGAAACTGGGGCCTTGAAAGATGGTCAGAATTTCTGGAGAAATAAGGGGTAGGGCACATTTGAAAATATGAGCAAAGACAAAGAGGTGGGACAGTGAGTGGACTAGTCTGTCTGGCACAAAGGACACATAAAAGAGAACAGCACAAGGCAAGGCTAGAGAGGTAGAGTCCATATTTCACACATTTTTCCCATGTATTTTTTGTTCTTGTCTCTCAGAGTTTTTATAAAGTTTTGTTCTTGTTTCTAATCACTTTACTGAAAGTTTCTGTTTTTATTTTCACTCTAGTAGGGATTGAATTTCCCTCATTCTCTGAGTATTTCCTATTGCTTGGTTTTGATGTAGCATCTTGCATTTCCCAAACACCTTGTAGAATTTTCCTCTTGTTGTTCAATCAGGTCCAACTCTTTATGATCCCATCTGGGAATTTCTTGGAAAAGATACTGGAGTAGTTTGCTATTTCTTTCTCCAGCTCATTTAACGTGTGAAGAAACTGAGGCAAGGAGGGCTAAGTGACTTACCC